CGGCAGGAAGCCAAAAAGGCCTTTGTTCATTTAGAGACTTCCCGCAAGGTGGCCAAAGCGTTACAGCGTAATGCAGCTCCTCTAGACACTGATTATAAGGTTGGTGATTTAGTTATCTACCGTCGGGACAACGTCCCTGGCAGCCCAGGAGTCGTATGGTCCACGGTTAGCCGCGTCATAGGACGTGAGGCAGAGAATGCGTACTGGGTATTACACGAGAATATCCCTGTACTTGTGAACGCTAGGAAGATGCGCCCAGCTGATGAAATCGAAGTTGCAGCGCACCGCGTTTTGGCAGGTGAACCAGTGCTTCCGGAAGCCATCGTACATGGGCCGGAACAAAGGTTCCAGGATGAGCGCGTAGCGGATCCGGTCACAGCACCAGCGACGCCACGTCCAGTGGCTGCAGCTGCCCCGCTTACACCGGCAGTCGCGCACGATGTGCCTATGCCAGCACCATCGACGCCAGCGATGATGCCCGGCACACCGATGCCAGCGCCACCTACCCCTGCAAGGTTTCGCGCCAAAGATAAGACGGGCGAAACCGCCCGGTCGCGATCGCCAGTAGGAGGCCGTGATGACGCACTAGTTGCAGAAGAGCTTGATCAAGTAGAGATCATGGCAAAAGGCCTGATAGATGCTCAGGGTTTTTCTCCAGATGAGTGTCTGGCCCTCCTTCGCGCTTATGACCGCGACCGACGCGAGGCGTACACGCGCCCGCTCCTAGATGACGGAGATCCCGGGAGCATAGCCCTCGCGGTGGGAGTATATCGGCACGGTGGTCTTGTTGGTGTCTCTGGACCAACGCGCGAGAGACCGTCGTTCGCCATGTACCTCAACCACTACCTCTTGCATCACAGTATGCAAGCCGGTCACCATCTTCCACAGTGGAGTAGCGTTCAGCTTACCAACAGAGGCGCAGAGGCCCATAGAGACCTAGCGAACACTCCTGGCTCGTATAACTACACTATAGGTGTGGGCGAGTATCGTGGAGGCGGCCTATGGGTGGAAGAAGCCACGGGTACAACTCCCGTGCGTATTCAAAACACGACAATGTATGGCACCGTCCATGATACTAAGAACAAGGTTCTTAAGTTTCGCCCGAAGGACGTGCACATGGTCGCACCGTTGTAGGAGAAAGATACAGTCTCTCCGCATACACGGTGAGTGACCTCGGTAAGTTGTCTAAAGATGACATACAGCTTTTGTCGGATCTAGGCTACCCCATATATAGGGATGCGCCCAACACCTTTGGCAGGAAAGGCGATGGGATATACACCATGGGTCACTCTGATCTTCCCATCGAGACGTTTCTAGAGCGCATCCACGAGTACGGGATTAAGGAAATCGTAGATTGCAGAAGCCACCCGTACAGCGTTCGGCATCCACAATACAATTGTGATGAGCTTTCTGCCACATGCTTTGCAAAAGGGGTTGTGTACAGTCACGCCCCCGAGTTAGGCAACAGGAATCGGGGCGGGATTGAAGCCAACCTGCAAACAGACCAAGGGCTCTGTACGATCGCTAGAATAGTTAGCGAGGCTCACGATGACTTTCACCGAATACTTCTGTTGTGTTCGGAGGCCAGTTGGCGGCGATGCCATCGGCGAAATATCGCCCAGCACATATGGCTCGAGCATTCGAAACTTGCGGAGCACATACGTGCTAACGGACTGCCAGAAGCCCATCCGTGTCACTACATTCCTGAGGAAGACGACGGACTGGCAGCAGCATCGCACACAGCTGCGATTGGCACGACAGTGCCAGCAGTTGAGCCCTCGGATAGTCGAGAGGCGGAATCCAAGGCCTTTGCTCTCACCCCTGATGGGGAAGACGCCTTCGGCTCTAATGTCGATGTTGGCTACATGGCCTCGCTCCTGGATTACCATAAGGCCCCTGTAGAGGTACAGCTGGGGCTGGATGCTGCCATGAAGACTGAATGGCAGAAGTACACTGAATTCAACGCAGTGGTCCCTTGCACAGACAAGGAGTTTAAGGAGCTTACAAAGGCTGGCCACGTGTGTATCCCCACCAAATGGGTTCTTACCGATAAGAATGAACACCTAAAGGGGACAGCAGCATACACTCCCAAGTGGAAAGCACGCTTGGTCGCATGTGGAAACTTCGAGCATATCTCGAATGAGGAGGATATCAGGGCAGACAGCCCCACGGCCGAGCCGGAAGGTATAGCCCTTCTGTGTTCATGGGCGGTTTCGTTGGCCCTGCGGCTCAAAGCAGCCGATATAACGAACGCATACTTCCAAGGGAAACCCCTTGAGCGCCTCCTCATTCTTCGGGTTCCCAAACACCCTAAAGGTGTGCCCGATGCAGAGATTCAGCGAGCCGGGTATATGATTGCCCGAGTACCCGTGTACGGCACCACCGACGCGGGTCGGAACCTTTATCTCCGTATAAAGGAGAGTTGCCGAGAATTTGGCTTAAATGCCTCGCAAATTCTGTCAGCCCTGTACTATATTACAGGAGAAGGTGGTCGTTTGTGCGCTTGCTTGTGCACCCACGTGGATGATTTCCTGTGGGCTGCTACCGCCGAAGGCGAGCCGGCTATCCAGAATCTGCTGGATAAGTTTAAGATCGGTCGCATAGAGACTGAGAAGTTCCGTTTCTGCGGACGCGAGTATGTGCAAAGCGCCGATGGGACCATCAGTATAAACTGTAGGGACAACACGCGTGCAATTCGCCCGATCGATATACATAAATCTGAAAAGGGCACGACTCCAGTCTCGAATGGCCAGCGCACAGCGCTGAGATCCGTCATAGGATCGCTGGCTTGGGTGGCCCGCGCCACGAGACCTGATCTTGCCTATAGGGTGAATGCCCTGCAGCAGCGTGTTACGACAGCCACGGTGGATACGCTCCGTGAAGCAAACCGCGTAGTAGCACTGGCGTTAGGAGATGCGGATAGGCCGATCACGTACAGCGCTAAGTTACCCTGGAATACAGGGGAGCTGGCGGTCGTTACGTTTTGCGACGCCTCCTTTGCAGGAGAGGCGAACCATAAGTCGCAGAGAGGCCGTTTCCACTATCTCACTTCCGCACAGTCGGCGGTGGACAAGAACGCGCCAACGCATGAGATGCACCTCATTTCGTTCTCCTCGTCCACCATGAAACGGGTTTGTCGCGCCACACTGCAGTGTGAGGCTTACTCGTTGCAACATGCCATAGAGCATGGAGACCGCATTCGAGCAGCAGTACTCGAAGTACTCGGCAAACTGCCCCGGTCACAGAACTGGGAAGAAGTCGCCAAGAGATCGATGTTCCACCTGCAGTATACGGACTGCAGGTCCCTTTCGGATCACTTGACAGCGTCGATTCCAAAGTCCTGCGAGGATAAACGCCTTGCCATAGAGATGTCCGGACTTCGCCAAGGACTTTGGGAAGAGGACGAGCTAACGCACGTCCTGTACCATCCCTGTGGCGATGAGTTGAGATGGATACCGAATTTACAACTTGCGACCGACGATTTATTGCGGACCGAGTATGATATCCGCAAACTCGCACTCCGCTTACGCGATTGAAGAACTCAGCCTAGAGCCTTGAGTCGCCGCACTCGGCTCGGTTGACTGCGCAAGCTCCCGGTATAATCCGGTGAAGTAGGCTTGGCCCAAAGCGGCCAAAATTCGAGCATGATTCGGACGTCACACTACAGATAAGACGGGTGTGAAATTTCCCTGTCTTGAAGCGCCGTGTTGACATGTCCTCATGCGAGCGTAGTTTTTGTGTTAGTTCTGAACGCACCCTGTACGACAGACGTCTTGGGCTCAGACCAAAAAGTGTGCTCGTTTGTGTGGTTGGACACTCACTAATCCAGTTCCTGCTTCAAAAGGGTTTAGGGTTTGGGTTTCCTTAAAGGGTTCCTTTAAAGGGTTCTATATATATATATATATATATATATATGAGGGTTACTCTCAGGGCGTGTGCCGATTGGCTCTGCTCTGCGGACTTGATCCTCTGGCTTGTCCCGCATGCCGCTGACAGGCAGGTGCAGACGTGTTCGTTCCGCGACGCTGGCAACATCCTCAGCATGCTAGATACGTCATCGGTTGCCATCCGACAACCGGACTTAACCGGGCCCGATTCCAGAATTGTCTGGGTCCGACAAGAGGAACAGGTCGGTCATAGCACTGCTGATGGGGATAATGTCATTGTCTATGGTCATTCTGAGTGCCTTCACCGTGTCAGGTGTGGGTCCCCAATCACTTTCTTTGAAGGGCCTTTTGATGGAGTTGCGTTTGTCTTGGATGTCAGGGGTCTCCCCACGCTCGGACGGCCACTGACAGCGCGGCAGAAGCTGCACACACTCCCTGACAACATTGCCGCTGCTGTCTTCGCGGGTGATCTTGTGCGCTTCTTCCTCCGTCTATCGCTTTTGGGTGTTGCAGGCCTCCTTCTTGTCCATGAGTCAGCCGAGCTTGACTTGCAGGCGGTCTCTGCTCTTCCTGGGGTGCTCCGCTACCACAGGGACGGCACGTGTATGCTCGCTCAGACCAGCGCCCTTCAAATGCTCCAACGTTTCAGTCCTCTTTAATTAATGCAAGCTCAAAGGGCTGCAACCAACATGGAGTCTATGCCCCAAATGCGAGAAATGCGAGATGAGGGCTACTACAAGGGAGGTTCCTTCAGAAGCCTTTGAAGAGCTTTGTAGGACCCTGAAAAAACCTCTAGCAGAACCTGTTAGTGTAGGGGGGGGCTAAACATCACCAGCGTTATTCCTTCGGGCTCCAAATGAAGCGCAAAACCGCATTCCAATTATTAAGATCGAGGCCCCCTGGGGCTCCTTCTGATCATTATATTCGAATGGAGCCCAAAACCCTACTCAAATTACTAAGACCCCTACATTGCCCTAAACCCTAAACCCCGAAATCCCAAACCCTAAACCTGGAACCCTAAACCCGAAACTCCCCAAACCCTAAACCCTAACCCTAAACCCTACACCCGAAACTCCTAAACCCTAACCCTAAACTAAGCCCAATGGAGCTGAGGCCCAACAGCGACCCCTCCCTGTCGCTCGGTGGTTTCGACGCTCCGCTTGCGCCACATCTCGGCCTCTCCAACAAGGCCTCGCAGGTTCCAGGGTTTAGGGTTTAGGGTACCCTAAGCCCCGAACCCTAAGCCCTAAAACCAGGGTTTTAGGAGTCGGGGTTTAGGGTTTAGGGTTTTCTTCAAGTGAGGATCCTATACAGGGTGAGGTTTTTTGAGGGGCTACCTTAACCCCAAATAACCTACCTTTTTAAGGACTCATATAAGGGATCATAGTAAGGAGCCCCAAAAGGGTAGGTTTCTCAGGGTCCAGGTACACCCTAAGCCCGAAACCATGCTAAACCCTGAAACCACTACATTGTAGGGTTTTAGGAGTCGGGTTTTCGGGTTGAGGGGTTTAGGGTTTCGGGTTCAAGGTTTAGGGTTTTCTTCAAGTGAGGATCCTATAATTCATTTAAGGAGGGTGTGGGGCTTTCAGGGCTTTTTGGGGTTCAGGGTTCAGGGTACAGGGGTTTCGGGTTTAGGGGTTCAGGGTTCAAGGTTTAGGGTCTTCAGGTTATTGTCTAGAGTTGTGGAGGGCTTTTCTTGGGGGGGCCGATGCCTCGGACAAGACAAAACCCTAAACCCTAAACCCTAAACCCTAAACCCTCAACCCTCAACCCTCCCCGCTCCCGAAGCTGTGGAGTATGGAGATATTAGTGCCGTGCTTGGTGAGGCTCTAGGAGCCGAAGACGGTACTTGAAGGATCATGGGACTTAGTAAGTAGGGTTATACTTGGAGGGTCGGGGGACTTAGTAACTGGTTATTTTAAGGACTTATAAGTACCACAACCCCAATTAGGGTCCCTTTTAGGCTACTTATAAGTCTACTTACTACCTACTTACTAAGTCTCCCGACTCTCCAAGTAAGTACCTTAATTGGGGTTATAAGTATAGTTACCCTAATTATAACCCTAGTTACTAAGTCCCATGATCGCTTAAGTAATGGTCGGCATTACCGCCAGACTGTCTACTGCGCGAGCTGGACTGTGGCGCAAGAGACCTGGACGGATACGGCCGTGCACGTTCCCGGATTGCCCGCTCTGCTGCTTTACGATTTGGCCACATGGGGCTCAAGGTCAGCGCGCATTGTTGAAAAGCGGAGTTTCCATGGCCTTCTGAAAGCGTTGGTATAGGAATGTCTATGTTTCTGCACGGGGTTTTGCAGGGGCGGGATTCGTAGGTTGATTTTTTGATTTTCTTACCAGGACTAGGGCTTTTGGATGGGGGGGTCTCGGGGTCAGATTTCACAGGCTGTAGCTGCGAAAGATGTGCCCCATATCCCACTGTATATCAACTGGACGTGAAAGTAAAATCGATAGGCTCGCATAAGCCCTAAAACCCTATGCTGAAGGTGCGGTCTGTAAGTGTTTTTTTCTGTCCCACAGCCACAGAGGTCCAACCTGCCTGAGGGGTTACACACTATCGAAGTCTGACTATCATTAAATACAGTGTCCCCGATAGAGTTTATGCCATACATGTACCGTCAAACCCTAAACCCTAAACCCTAAACCCTAAACCCCGAACCCGCGATCCCAAGCCCTAAACCCTAAGCCCTAAACCCTGAACCTTAAACCCTAGGCCTCAAACCCTAAGCCTTCAACGTATAAACCCTGAATCCCAAAGGGCAGTTCTACTTCCACCGCTAGGGGAGCCAGCCTCAGCAATCCTTCATGCCACTGAGAGCATGAACCCAAAAGTTCCAACAGCCTGTCTAGGGTTTAGGGTTTGGGTTTTAGGGTTTGGGGTTTCGGGTTTTGGGTTTAGGGTTGAGGGTTTAGGGTTTAGGGATCAAGGGACCCTTAAGGGGGTAGGGGGCCTTAATGATTAACACCCATAATAAGGACTTGATAAGGCCCATTTAAGGAAGTAGATCCCCTACCCCCCCTCTCCCCTACCCCCAAAGGGTCCCTGTAAGTTCCTAAAGCCTACCAGGACCCTCCTTGTACTCTCAAATGGGGCTAGGTGGTCCCAAAAAATGTGTATTTCGGTTCAATAGAGGGTAGAAGGAGGGTCTAGGTACCTTCCTTGTTTTGATGACGTGTGCATATCAGTGAGTGTAAGGAGTCATCGTACTAGTAACAGAATAATTTGATAACAGCAAACGGAGCCCTAAATCCTAAACCTTTCCTCAATGACTTATCTCGGCAAGTACAGGAACCCTACGGGGGGCAACGTGCACGCTTTTCAGGCACACGGCGGACCCGTAGGGAAGCAAAAAGGCCATCGAGGACCCAACACAGTTTTTAAATTTTAACAAGACAACCCAAAACCCTAAACCCAAGACCCTAAACCCTAAACTCAAAACCCTAAACCCGGAGAGGAGACGGATGGGTTGGAAGGCGACTTGGACTGTGAGATCGCATCGGGCATGTGGGTGGTTGTCAAAACTAGGGGTCTTTTTTGGATCCCCTAAACATGAGGTGCCGTACTATATTAGGGACCCAAAAGGGGCCATAATTTTGACAACTACCCCATGTAGCAGTAGGGAAGTTCAGGGTTCAGGGAGTAGGGGTTTAGGGTTTAGGGTTTAGGGTTTAGGGTTTAGGGTTTAGGGTTTAGGGTTTAGGGTTCAGGGAGTAGGGGTTTAGATCTTTTCGGGTTTGAGGTTGGCTGTTTTAGTAGGGCGTCCTGTACGAGTAGGGTTGCGGAACTCTTTTCTAAACCCAGGACAGCCTCAGCAATCCCAAGCTCAAATGCTTGAGCCCTCTAAACTCTGAAGAATGGATCAAACTGTTAACGGGGGAGCGAGTCTTGTTGGATTGCGGTTTTGGGGGTTCCTGGTAACTTGCAGGCCCCTGCATCACATTACAGGGTTTAGGCTGTACCGGTCCAGGACGTAGGCTTTCGGGAACTTACGATTATTGGCTGTTTCAGCAGGCTTGAGACCTTCGCTTCGGATTAAGTGGGGTTTCGGCGACCGGTTTTGGAGTTTGAGGTTTGTGGTAGCTTTTAAGACTGAAGGCTTGAGTAGGGTCCCCCTTAAATTCTTCTGCATTGGTGGTGGTGTCGAACATGTGCAGTTGTTTTCAACGACCATGTTCGATTTTGCTCAGACTTCTAGAGCTTGCAAGTTAAACCGCTTTGTGGTTGCGCCGAGCATGTCGGTTCGTGAAGCCCAAACTTAAATCTTTACCCCCCTACTGTTCTTGAAAGCCCTCACGATGCGGACAAGCGCTTACAGAAGCGCTGGAGCGACACCCCCATCAAACTCAGCATGCCTCTCACAGCTGCGGGGTTCCACGTTGCTCTTGCTCAGATCGCACGTCGCAAGCGCTGCATATCGTTTGACGCTAATCAGCGCATTCGATTCAACGACACCTGAAGATGTTTACCCTAAACCCTAAACCCTGAATGTGATTGCAAGATGGCGAGCAAAAGGCTTCGAAACCCATGTGGTCAAAGATCTCATCGCAGCAGCCTTCAAAGCGTCCTACACGGCGTCCAAGAGGGCTATGTCGTGGACCTTATATGCCGGGAAGTTTGTTCCACAAGCAGCGCAGCGCTGCGACGGGCAGAAAGGGCACCACAACAGACAACAGCCTTGCGTTGCTGAAATTCCTGCTCGACACATACTTCGAGTTGGTACCACATGCGTCTTTGGAGAGGTTCCCGACATATCTGGATATGATGAATATGTCTGATGATCACGTCATTGGTCGGGTTAGGGTGTATATAGGGGATGTAGATTGCATTTAGGGCTCTGGATTTAAGGTGCAGCTTTTCCTTTGTTTTCCCTCATACAACAAGTCGTTGGAAGTCCGTGAAGCGCTCCTCAGGAGAATGTGTAAAACACACTCAACACCTTAAGCCCCCTAAAAAAAACCAAGGCGCAGGCCCTACACCGTACACCCCCACCCCAAACACCGTAAAACCTACACCTCTTGATCCGTACCCCTTATATAGTACTCATGGGAATCCCACTGGCATCCCGTAAAGCAGCCCAGGCAGCGCGCTGGATTCCGTGCACACAAATTCAGAGGTTGGGCCTCTGCCTCCGAATTGGCAGCCTGCCTCTCGCCTAAAGAAGGGATTAGGGCTTAGGGGCTTTGGGCTTAGGGGTTTAGGGGCTTTGGGTTTGGGGGTTTAGGGTTTAGGGGTGGTTTGAGGGCTTATGAGCTTTTAGGGTTCAGGGTTTAGGCTTTAGGTGTTTAGGGGTGTAAGGTTCAATGGGGGATTGAGGGTTACAGGGTTTCGGGGTTAGGGTGTTTTACGGGTTGCGCTAAGGCGCTACGGGTTCCTTAAGAGAGGGGTTCGGGGTTCTTGGCTTTGCGGTTGACTGTTCGGGTTTGGAGGGTTTAGGGTTTGCGGTTTAGGGTTTAGTACGGCTTTCGGGTTCAGGTTTCGGGTTTGGAGGGTTTAGTTTAGTTTTCTTGGTTGGTTCTGTCTTTCCTCGGGGTTCGGGGACTGTGGAGGAAGACTCCTTAAAGATTTTGAGTGGCGTTTTTAAGTTTGAGCGTTTCTCCTGGTGTGAGTTCATAGAAATCGTGCATCCGCACTTATACCCTCGGTTTAATGAGTACCTCCTTTGTTTTGGGCTGCCTTGTTCCTTCTCACGGCATAGAAACTCGGACAAGGAAGATACAATGTCACATGGGGTTCGAGATCAGTGATGGTTCGAGCTTGGGTTCTCTTCGAGGCGATTCCCTAAACCCGAAACCTAAATCCTAAACTTAAACCCGAAGCCCTAAACCCCAAACCCTTCTCCCTTATCTCAGTTGTAAGGCCGGCGGCCTGTACAGCCAGGCGAATTCGATGCGGCCGTCGCTCGACAGCAATTTCGGGGGCCGTTGGCTGCATCTCAAATTCGACTTTGTGAGTTTTTCATGGGGGGGGGGGGGCTGGTCGGATGTGCTCCGCGCGATTTAAAGATTTGCTACCTGGGGCTTGCTTTCGGTAGGGTTTGGGGTTTCGGGTTTAAGGTTTATAGGGTTTATGGCTGAAGGTTTTAGGATTTAGGATTGCGGGTTATCTTATCTTTGATTAATGTAGGAAACCTGACTAAGAAACCTTGAGCCTTTCTTAGGGTTCCTTATATGAATCGTACAATTTTGGGGTTATAGGACCGGGTTTCTTAATCAGATTCCTACATTTTTCATCCATACCCTAAGCCCCAAAATCCTAAACCCTAAACCGTTAAGCCGTATGGGAGCTCAGGGCTTCGTGCTTTGTTACAAACACTTGCACAAGACGGTTACGTAAGCCATCTCCTTATCGGATGTAAATTCAACTTTTCAACTTTTGGGGTTCTTATAAGGTAGTCGATTCTGAAACTTTCAACGTTTATTTCAATGGGTTTTGGGCCAGCGAGTCTCAATCCCAGGCGAAACATCCCCACATCTCGCTGAGCCTCCGTTTGAGGGCTTAGGATTTGGGGTGTAGATCAGGTCCTCTCAAGGAGCCTTTCTTGGGAAGCCTGTCATAAAATCCTGCAAGGAAGCCTAGTCTAAATCTCCATTGTAGCACCCTCTGAATACAGTAGAAGCCAGAAAGTTGGAACATCATTAGCCTCATGCTCTTAGAGCAAAGTATAGGGAATCCTAGCACGGATCCTCCTAAATCCATGTTCCAACTTTCTGGGGTTCACTATAGAACTTAGCCATTCCCCACAGCCTGCAGGCCCTGTTCGATCCTCGAATCCTGGTCTCCAGCCCGTACTACAGAAGCCGAAATTAGTTTCCTCGGGTTCCTGTCATGGTTGTAGAATGCATCACGTACAGTAGAAGCCAGAAAGTTTGAACATGGCTTTAGGAGGATTAGTGCTGGGATCCCTTATACTTTACCTTAAGGGCATGAGGACAATGATGTTCCAACTTTCTGGCTACTACTGTAACCCAAACTTCTATAGGCACCAGAAAGCGGAGATACCAATTCGCAGTCCACGCTTCCTTGGCACCACCAGAAAGCTTCCTCCAGGCTGGGCCATCAATCCTCGCAGAAAAGGCAGGGCCACGGAATCTGACATGCAGGGGTAATATAGGGGCCGTAATAATTACATTATACTTTTTCGGGGGTTCCTTATTATAATTGTAGTATAATGGGCCCCAAAACCCTGTTCTAATTATCAAGGCCCCTATAGTATGTTCAGATTTGACAGAAGGGGTGTGAACGCAGGTACACTGTGTTGGCATGAGTGGTAATTGCAATAGAAATTTCATTTGTACTTTTGGTGGTTTGGTTTACCGCAAAGCCAATATGCGGATCCTCGCCTTCCTTCCTTCGCTTCCTGAACTTATCGGTTCGGGGGTTTAGGCTTTGAGGTTTCCTTCAGAATGGTGTAGGACAGTGTAGGGTTCAGGTTTGGGGTGTCGGCTCCTGGAGCTAAGCCCTACAACGTTACAACCCCGAACCCCACAACCCTACAACACCAAACTCTAGAACTCTAGAGCCCTCAAGCCAAGAACCCTAAAGCCTTAAAACCCGTATACCACGCATTCAACGCCAGGCTTCCCCTGTTCCGTCCGACGCTGTCGCCGCCCCCCAGCACCCACTTGCGAGAGAGGCCGGCCGGTGCTTGCACTGCCTTGGTTAGGGTGTTAGGGCTGGGATAGAGGTTGTAGTTTAAGTTCTAGCGTTCTTCGAACAGTGTTGAAACCATCCCTTAAAAAAGCGACCACAGAGGCCCCAAGAAAAATCTTCCAGAAATCCTTTTGGGAGGAAGCCTCCTCCGGCCCCTGTGGTGGCTGAATCGGTCCACCAGCCGGGCCAGGCCGGGGGTCGGGGGTTTGGGGTTTAACCAAGGGGCCGTAATAATTACCTATACTATTTTTGGGGGTTCCTCAACCGAAGTACAGTAGAATGGGCCCCGGGTTTGGGGTAAGTTTGAGGTTTTGGGTATAAGGCGGGCTCGGGTTTAGGGGTTGAGAGCGGTTAAGGGGTTTAGGGCTTAAGGGCTTCTAGGGGTTTGGGATTAGGGGTTTGGGATTTAGGGCGCCGGAACCTTTTGCTGCTTCTAGACCACCCTAAACCCACCCTAATGTATCCTTTAGACTTCCCTAAATAGTAGTAGTAGTAGTAGTAGTAGTAGTAGTAGTAGTAGTAGTAGTAGTAGTAGTAGTAGTAGTAGTAGTAGTAGTAGTAGTAGTAGTAGTAGTACTAAACCCTCTAAGCACCAGAACCCCAAGCCCGCTTAATAGGCCTAACAGAAAACTGAAGAACACTCAACCCTAAACCCTAAACCCCTAAGCCCTTACATGTAGCACCCAAAAGGCCAAAAGGAATCCGCAACCCAAGACTTTGTGGAACCCTGATGTTTCAAAGCCCGACAAGAGCCCGCGACCCTATACCTATGCCCTACTCCCTTGCGGCTTCAGGTCGCTGTAGATGTGCCGGAACCGACCCGGGGCCACTTGTCACGGGCGTTTGGGGTTTATTGGGCGTTTTGGTTTCGGGTTGGGTGTGATTTGATAGGACTTCCTACTGCATCAAGTGTGTGTTATGTGAGTTTTCGTGTTCTGGACTTGTGTTTAGTGTTCGAGGCAGGCATCTACGGAATTTGCATTTCGATTCAGGTGTTCGTGGCAGCATCGAAGCCCTAAATCCTGATCCATCAACCTTCATGCTATACACTACTTGATGGATTATACACGTGACCAGCAGGAGGGGGTTTTGTGCTAGCAGCTCCAACAGACATCAACAGACCGAAAAGCAAGCCTCATGCCCGCAAGCAACCATAGGAGCCCTAGCCACACCAAGCTGCGTGGGTGTCCTGTGGTGCTAGTATTTGGTCTTCGCATCGTGTGGATGTGTTTGCGTGCACTGGGCTCGTAGGGTCTGAGTGTTTCCGGGTGTAAGGTCTGCAAGATTTCCGATTCCTTGCCTTCTTACCATTAGGGTGTAATGCAGACGTTTGGGAGCTTGTAAGCAGCTGGAGACCGTGCACCGTAGCTCAAAGAAGCTGCAGAAGGCCTTGGGCTTGAGCCCAACATTGCACCGCGAGCAGATTACAACGAAGATGTGCAGCAGCATGCGTACGACCTGACAGTGTGTCATCAACACCCCCAAGCCCCAAACACCAACGAAATTTAGACCCACCAAGAATCGACACAAGGACCTGCGACAGGAACATCACTGGGCCTAGACCCCCAACTACATTAAACCACGGAAATGAGTAACCGGTAATCTTTTAGCCTTGAACGCATACAATATAGGCCGAAAAGCCTGAGCCCAACACCCTAACCTTAAACCCGACCCGCATAAGACCTCGAAGTGGAAGCCATGGTATCTTCCATGAGCTTCGGTTTACCGAAGCAGCGGCGGGCTGCACCTCGTGGCCGGCGCCCAAAGCGCTCTAGGGGTCCTTCATAAGTAGACTAGGGTTCTGCGGGTTCCTTATTATAACTATTGGTAGAATACATCCCCCCAAACCTTATTCTAATTAGTGAGGCCCCTACATTCGAAGGTTTTGGGGTTCCTTATTATAGTTATGGTAGAACAGAATACATCCCCCTAAACCTTATTCTAAATTTTGAGGCCCCTGCATTAGAAGGTTTAGGGATCAGGGTTCAGAAAGTTTCAACCTCAGTCTCCTCCTGTTGTTGCCCTTTTAAGGTGGCGTCTCGGGAACCCTAGCACCAACTAGGATGCCCAGTACTTGGAGGGTCGGGGGACTTAGTAACTGGTTACTTTAGGGACTTCTAAGTACCATAACCCCAATTAGGGTCCCTTTTAGGGTACTTATAAGTCTACTTACTACCTACTTACTAAGTCCCCCGACCCTCCAAGTAGTACCCTTATTCCCTTTTTGTAGTCCCAGGTTCCTTATAAAGTTAGCCAATACCAAGAAGGGAGCCCTTTTTATTCCTAGGTTACTGGGCATCCTGGTAAGTAGCACCCATCATCCTAAACCCATGTTCCTACTTTCTGGAGTTCACCATACCCTAGACATCTAAGGACTCATTTTTTACGGCTTTTGGGCCCAAAGACCATACTATGTAAGGCTTTTGGGCTATTTTGATACCCAGGGATAGGGGGATGAGTGATGAGGCCTTTGGCGGCGCGGTGGTTCCCGGGTTCCTGTAAAGGTTCCATTACCTGAACCCTAAACCCTAAACCCTAAACCCTAAACCCTAAACCCTAAACCCCAAACCCTAAACCCTAAACCCTAAACCCTAAGGTTTGCGGTTTAGGGTGTGGGAGGTTTCAGGGCTCCGGGAAGAGTTCGTTGAAGGCTTCTACAAGGGCCTTAGGGTTCCTGGTTTAGGGTTTAGGGTTTAGGGTTTAGGGTTTAGGGTTTAGGGTTTAGGGTTTAGGGTTTAGGGTTTAGGGTTTAGGGTTTAGGGTTTAGGGTCAGCGTTCCGGTTCAGGGCTTTGGGGTTGAAGCTTTACGATTTTGTTCAAGTTTTAGATCGAGGTTTCAGATTGCTTGTTAAGAACCCCTAGGGTTCAAGTTTCCACGAAGGGGACCTTGCGTGGCTCAGGGTTTTGGGGTTTGGTGTTTAGGGTTTCGGTTTAGGGGATGTCTAAGGGTTAAGGGGTTATAGGGGATTAGGAGTTTAGGGTGGAGTGCTGTAGCGGGCACGAAACCGGCGAAACCTCCGAGGGATTTCGGTGCCGGCGAGCGCGAAGTTCCAACCGATGCACCGCCAGCAGTTGCAGCCAACGCGGCTCCTATTCCGGGGCTGGGTGCAGGTCTGGGGAGCCCGCCTCACGTTCCAGACCCAGAGGATGAGCCGCGGAGTCCCGGTTCAGACAAGCTTGGTGGCGCCAACTTCCAAGGCCACATTGGTCGATGGGGCCTCCGCCGCGCCTAGCGGAAGCCATTCCTGAGCCAGCAGGAAAGAGCGTTCCATCCGATCCTGCAGTGCGAGCCAATAAACGCGAGAGGAATTCCTCCTCTGAACCCGCGGCGGGCCCGACAGGGGGGAGCCACGCTGAGGCTTGCCAAGGCGTTGGCGCTACTGCACCAGTCGACACGCCAGCTCTACGCCAAAGCCTATGTTTGAGTACTCCTACTATGATGGCCTTTATTATCATGCCGTTATTGTCCGTATGCGTATTTTGTTGCCATGACTGCTATGATTATGGTTATGATGATGGTCTGGCCATTGCCGTTATTATCACTTGTCATCATGTTTAGAGATACAGGCATTGCTATATGGACGTATAGAAGGATCGTCTCTAAGTTGTTCTTGTACCAAGATTGTCATATGCCTTGCGACCACCGAGACCCTCGAAAGCGGAGCTGAGTCGCAACCCTTGGGCTTGTTTCTAGCTTGGTTTGCGCCTGGGGTTTAGGGTTTACCTAAGGTGGTTCCCCTAAAGTTTGCAAGAATGTCAACTGGAGCGCAGGATTGCAACATGTGAGACAGGGTTGCTACTTTCTGCGCCAGCGTGACGTAACTGTCACCGCCAAACCCTCAACCCCGAGCCTGAAACCTCATCCCCAACAGCAGTCGTAAAACACTACCTAGACCACAAATAACCTACCCATATAAGGGCTCTTTTTTTTAGGAAAGTACAGTAGGAGGGCCCTAAACAATGGAAGGTTTCATAGGGTTCGGGTAGCCCCTAAACTGTGAATCCGAGCCCCAGGTCCGAACTTCCTGCGCCCAAACCCTAAACCCCAAACCCCTAACAGGCATTTCGGACGTCCCCTGGGCAGACGGAAAACAGGGTTCAAAAACAAAAAACCCTAAACCCCAAACCCCTAAACCCCGAACCCTAAAACCTAAGTTTAGGATTTTTTTTTAAAAAAAAGTTTAGGATTTTTTTTTTAAAGTTTAGGATTTAGGGTTCCCAAAAAACCTGCAGCGAGGCCCCAGCACAGCCGTAGTGAAGGCTGGCGAGGCCAGGGATGCTGGTCTTTTTGTGCGCGGGGTTTTAGGGTTTTAGGGTTTAGGTTGCTACTGTTTGCTTAAAAAACCCCCCAAAAAATGAAAAATATATTCCTTATGGGGGTAATATAAGGATTATTATTTTTATTTTTTGTGTGTTTCTTAAGCAAATAGTAGGTTGTGGTTGACGGTGTTACGAGATCAGGGTGTGCGTGCATCTTAAATGAAACCGACCTGTAAACTGGGTTTTTGCTGAGGAGTTTCATTACCATACTAGTAATCTATAACAAATAGTGTGGTTTCCCTATTCTGGTAACTTAAATTACATCCCCTACTAACAAGAACCCGGTAAAGCCTCAAGGCCCTGAAGGCTGTCAATGCGGTTTGTAGTGCTTTAGCTTGCAGGTGTCGGGCTTGCCTAGATCCTACTCTACCACTCAATCCCTAAGCCCGGATAAACCCTAAACCTAAACCCCTAAACCCCTAAACACCTAAAGCCTAAACCCAAACCCAAACCCTAAGCCACGGAAGAGCTTGGGCTTTCCCTACACCCTAGGCCCTAACATACAACCCAAGCTTTAAACCCGAAACCCAGACCCTAAAAAGGCCCTAAACGCTACAGCCAATCAAACAGTTATATGGGTGGTTGTCAAAATTATGGTCCCTGTTTGGGTCCTTATTATAATACGGCACCTAATATTTGGGGTACCCAAAAAGGGACCATAGTTTTGACAACCACCCATGTAGTACATGGCAGTCGGGGTTCGAGGGCCCAGTTGTGGGATCCACCACGTTCGGATCTCTTGTGACTTCGAGGGCTTGAAATATTCAAATCTCCTGAAGGCTTGAACCTTAGACCCTATCTTCGTCTTAACATCCTGCCTTTCTAGGGTTTCCTCATGATGATGCCATTATGGAAGCCCTTGGGAAGGGACGGTTTTCAGCGGTTTAAGCCAAGCTCCTGAACCGTTACCCCAAAAGCATGTGCTTTGCTTGGATGTCATCCTGTCTTAAGCCCTGTAGCTTCACAAGAAGAAATTTAGCAAACCCCATAAAGTTGGAAACCGGATAAAGGTCAAATAGTGCTGGGATTCCCTATAGATTACTCTTCAGGATTGAGGCTATGGGGTCTCAAACTGTAGCTATCAACAAAGGAAGTGCCTGGGGTCGGCCCTTACATCAGCTGTAAAAGCTCAATCATAAACAGCACTCTAAACCGCTGTAAACTCTAAACCCCAAACATACACCAAGACCTTAAACCCCAAGTATAAACCTAGACCCTCGACTAAACCCTCCACCGCAAACCCTACACCCCAAACCCTCAACCTCAAACCCCCCTGAACCCTAAACCCTGAACCCTCCTACGCTCTAAAGCCTCATTCCCAAACCCCCCTGAACCCTGGACTGAATCCTACACCCTCAACCGAAAACATAGACCCTTAACCCTCAACCCCAAACCCCAACCCTAAACCCGAAATTATAGACCCTAAACCCTCAACCCCCAACCCTAAGCCCAAAGTATACGGGTGGTTGGTCAAAATTATGGTTCCTTTTTGGGTACCCTAAATA